TTAATTTCCCACACACGAGATTACTGTGTGATGGATGTCCTCCCCTGGGGTAGGATGGGTAGGAAGGTGAGATCGATATGGACTGAGGCGGCTGCCAGAGGCGCCTGAGAAAATTGCCGACGTCTGTTCTCAACCTTAACAACATCTCACTGTAACAAACCTGTAATCCAGTTCTCTGCAGAAGGTTTCATTAAACATCATATCATATTAGTATCACATTAACAGAATAAACGTCAGTAAAGTCGCTAGAGTGTAGGGTGAAAAGCGACGTTATTTTCAAATTAAACAACTTTTACTTTTATCTACTACTTTTAATTTTATCTACTACTGTATTTAGTTTGTATATTCTCCCCTAATTGGTGTCCCCAAATTAGTAGGGGATTTGTTCCCTGGCTAGACGGTTTTTGACACTTTAATAAAGTTTCTACTACTACTACTACTACTACTACTACTTTACCGTATTAACATATCTCTTGCTTTTTTCAAACACTGAAGGCACATTTATGACAGCTAATAAAGGTATGTTCTATTGACCCATCAAATGTATGCAACTATTGGCATAAAATCTGCCTTCACATCCGACAGAAGCCAAAGTCCAAATAGTTCTGATTACGATTTTCATTCAGCAAAACGTTAAACAATCGGATAAAATAAAAGTGTACAATTATGTGACACTAAACTTGATAAATGCATCCTCTATGAGTCTATATTGGCTAAGTTCAAACATCAATCTGACTTCTTTGACAACATTAAAATAGCGCTCCCCAAGAGGAAAATGACCTCATGATATAGTAATAATAATAATAATATAATAATTAATCATATTTAAGCAGGAAGCTCTTTCACCCGTAGGTGATCTACAGAGAGGTCCTGATCCAAAATAACGTTAAATTGTTAAAAGTAGGTACACAAATTGCAGATATTAAAAAAAAAGTACAAAAGTAAGCTATAAATTAAAAGATTTAAAAAAATTATTTCTAAACTGACATATAATGCCACAGGCGGCCCAAGCTCTCTTTGGAAACCACACAAGGAACACAATTTGCATATTTATAATGATTTGTATGGGATTTTCTACAAGAAATCCACTGAGATAGTTAAAAGTGAAAATATTAAATAAAAATGGCTCACCTTGTTCCATACGTGTGTTGGTTGCTCCTGGTGTAATTATTTTACCATTCTACATCTTCTCTTTATGTAGTAGAAAGCCAGGATTAAAAAAAAACCGCTTAAATCAAGTGAAATCGGTAAAATAATGACACCAGGAGCAAACAACACACGTATGGAACAAGGTGAGCCATTTTTATTTAATATTTTCACTTTTAACTATCTCTGTGGATATCTTGTAGAAAATCCCATACAAATCCTTCTAAATATGCAAATTGTGTTCCTTATGTTGTTCTCAAGGAGAGCTTGGGCCGCCTGTGATAATGCCAGTTCTTCAAGTCACTTTCGAGGGAATTCCAGTCTTCAAAGGCATGATAACAGGTTCTTTGTTTATCCCAGTTCTGTTTTACTGACGGAGGTCTAAGATGATCATTGCAACGAGTATTGTAGCTATGTACATCGCATTTTCTAGATAATTCCAATTTGTTAGATGTAATTCTATACACGCATTTATAAAGATACAAGCAATGATGGAAGTGCCTGCGTTGTTTTAAATTTAACCAGCCGAGCTGATTGACAGCATCGGTTGCAGAAGAGTACAATGGTTTATCTAGAAGTTTTGCCGCCTTATTTTGCAACACCTGCAGATTGTTCATTACGACAGCATTTTCCTCGTGCGTCACGAGGATAAGACAGCATTTTCCTCGTGACGCACGAGGATAAGACAGCATTTTCCTCGTGCGTCACGAGGATAAGACAGCATTTTCCTCGTGCGTCACGAGGATAAGACAGCATTATCCTCGTGCGTCACGAGGAAGCAAAACGAACCCAAAACTGACTCTAGAACTCACTAGTCCGTACATTATCTTGGAAGCACTTGTTAGTGCTTGATAGGACATCGAGAGCTCTTTCACAGCAATTTTCATTTTTTCTTATCTCTTTAATCATCATCACTAGATATGTTATTCACCAACTGGCAGGTCCGTTCGGAAAAAACTGTGCTCGAGGTCTTGGTAACCGCACACGGCCGAGGTCGTAGAAAGGGAGTATTGTGAAAATGATGCCGACTACAGATGTTTCTTTAATGGAACTTTTGCTGAGAAAAAGTCCGTTAAAAGGAAGTGGAATTTCCCAACAGATTGCGATGATCATTACTGTTGTCCTGGTTGTCAGGAAGATACTTTGTACGGACATTTCACACGCTTTGTGACGGGGAAGAGAAATGCGTTCTCAGTCGTAAAAAGGTATCTTTATACACAGACTCCCTCTTAACTTCTTCTTTGATAAGCACACACTCGAGTGCAGACCTTTGAATTGTTATTTGAGAGTAAAAATCGTTTAGTTATGTCACCCTACATCTCCACTCATCATCAGTACTACAAATTTGGTTAAATTCAAATGTATTTGGCATAGTTCACTCGTCTTGTTTGGGCTAAAACCTGTTTTGCAGACAGCATTGGTACTTTGATCTTGGTTTACTACTCTGGATCCACCCGGAAGGTGTCGGAAAAGTGACGTCAGCCTTGTAACCTCGCAACGCGAAACCAAGGGTGGTCTTTAAGATATTGTGGGTTTGTAAAAGAATAGGTTAGGATCGACGCGATACGAAGCGTGTGACGACTAGAATAAAGATAGGAAAAAAAACTACGCGAGTGACCAGTGTTGCTATAATGGGATTTCCAACAAAGGGACGTATTTTCAGTTTCTTTCTTTGGAAATAGAAAATCTTTGATTCTCTTTTGATATCCTCTTTAAAAAACGAGTACACGAAGGGGTTTAGCGTAGAATTGGCCAAAAGTAGCAAACGATATGCCACTTTTTCATATTTAGACACATTACAGAGATTAAAAGAAACGCAGATTGTCAAATAGATAGCGATCCCGTAACATGCTGTGAATATAAAAACAAGTACTGTGACCAGCCTCACTGTGGATGTTTTTAATCTCGCATTTGCAACTTCCTTAATTTTGACAGTTTGCTGTTACGTTAAAACGAACTTGTTTAAAAAGAACTTTCATCTCGCGAGAGAGTTTGCGAGCAATTAAAAGGATGTGAAAATGTGCCACGAGCAGAACTATTGTTGGTAACACGCCGAAGAGCACAATGGAAATGCAACCAAATATAGCCGTTCTTGGGGCGAACAGTTCGCTTCTAGCAAGATAGATGATGAGTTCACAAATTTTCAAAAGAAATGGAATGGTCCAACATGTCGCAATAATAATGGCTACGTTTGCTTTCGTCAAGAAACGGAAGTATTTTAAAGAATGGACGATAGCGATATAGCGTTCAGCAGCCATGGCGGTGAGGCAAAAGGCAGAAGTGGTTATAAAGAAGCGAGCAATTACTAGGCGAACGTCGTTGTTACATGTATCCACTAGCACATTAAAAATCAAGAACGTTGGAAAATATCCACTAGTAACACCCAGGTCGGCAACCGCCAGGGAAAGGATGAACCAGTTGGCTGTTGTTTGTAATCTTCTTCTTTTCGCGATGATGAAAATAACCCAGGTGTTCCCCAACAGGCTAAAGAAAATGAAAAACCAACCCACAATCCAGTCAAAATCCATCCCTTGCTGGCTATGAGGCTGAACCTGGATATGTCAATGTAGATTTACTATCGAATATGAATCGTGATGGAAGCATAGATGTTAAATAAACGGGTTTTCAGAAAGTGAAAAGCCAACCTAAGGCCTACTCTGGGGCCTTAAGTCGCCGTAACTTTGGGCGACTTTGGGCGATTTAAGGCGACTTAAGGCGACTTAAGAAAATTGGCAGAAAAAACATGGCAACTCCAGGCGATTTAAGGCGACTTAAGGCAACTTAAGGCGACTTAAAGCGACTTAAGGCGATTTTATTTGACTGAAGTGATAAAATCAAAGTTAGCAACAGTCTCTCCTTAAACCCTACAAATATTTACAGAATCCCTTGCAATAAGCACAATAATCATTTTGGTTACTTTTGTATGCTCATAATTCACCATAGTCTAAAATGTCCAGATTTCAAACCAATTTAGCCAAAAAATTATTAAACAGAAGTACCACAACAGTTATTGTTAAATTATACAGTCTAAGCTACTGAATAAATAGCCAGGAAAACATTACGGGTTATATGCTCCACAACAAACAAACCTATCAAAAATATACACTTAAAGACACACA